TAGGAGATTTAGTAGAATTATCAAATACTATGATTGACGCATTAAATTCGTATCATTAATACGGTAACATTACTAACGTCAATATTAATATCTGAGATGTTACCAAAGCATCAAGGGATATTAAATGAACGCCGAAAATGATATAATCTCATCCCACATTCCATTTGACATGCATGCTATCGATTTTCCAAGGCACTTGATTTTCATGCCTCGTTCAAGCGCACAGGTGTGATATGGCAGATCAAAATGCTAATGCTATTAAAGTTTGATGGTAAATTTCCTGATCGCCAATATAGCATATCTAAATTAATTTTTTTTCTCGCTTTTCAAAAGAAAGTAAACAATTAATTTGAATGATATTGAAAGAAAAGTATTTTCTTTTTTTCATAAACATAAAATTATATAATGTTTAAAAAATGTTCTCTTGCATTTTATATATAAGATATATTTATATAAATAAAATTCTTCATGAATACTTAAAAATTTTTCAGAAAATTAAATTTTTGACTATAAAATTAATAAAATTTTATGAACGTATAAGAGTAAAAACTTTGTTTAATTTTAAATAGGATATATGTTGATCGTTTTAATTACGAATTTGATTATCAAGATAATTAATGTCAATAAAAATTAAAATGTTCGTTGTTAGGTAAAGAAAATTTGAAGCTCTAAGCTTCTCGCAGGATCTTTAGCCAACAGGGAATGAATGATTTCCGGAGCAGCACATATATCATAGCAAAGATATCGAGGTTAAGTGTGAGCAATCATTCAATAAAATTAAATGTTAAGAATGGTGTTCCATTTTGGTAGAGAGATGCTCAACTCGATATAAAATATCATAGCAAATTCGAGTACAACAGATGTTGAGCATAAACAATAGCAATTCACGAGTAGACTGTTCAAACGATCGCACTATACATATGTATAATCCAATAAAACAAACAATAAAAAACAGCTGCTACTATTTATTGTTCGTTTATACGCATTCCTACAACATTTAGATTTTTCTGTTAGAATCTTGGAAATATATCCGAAGTAATAAATTCTTCTTAAAAATCTTGAGAGAAAGCTAATATTTTCTTAACAATTATTTTAAAAATTTTGAAAAAAATCGCGAAAATCTTGTTCAAAACTTTTAAGAAACACTAATATTCTGAGGCTTCCTAAACTTCAGAAACTTTTAAGATTTTTAAATTTATTCAAACTTGATTAAAAGGATTTATTATAATTTTCAACTTTTTAATCAGCCTTATAGCTTCGGATTCAAAGCGATTTACAAAATTATCTTTCTATTTTAAAAATAATTCAAGGTGTATTTGACATATAACTACTATTATAAATTATTTATTAATATAAATGGAGTCTTGTTATAGACGTATATTAACTGCAATTCTGCTTAACATTTATCGTTTTCATAATTGAATCTTTAGAAAATTTCGTTGGAACATAAAGATTGAAGATGCAAGGAGTATCAAAAGGAAAAAAACAAAAACGGTCGAAAAACGGAACTAAACTGAAATTAATAATTTTACGGTGGAACGTCGATCTTCGTTATATCGCGCCACCGTCTGCGTCACGACCATATCTCTATTAATAAGAACTTACGTAAACCACATTGAAAAGTTAAAGCTTTGCCTTATATAATTGCGCACGCAAATGTGAAAATGTGAATGTGGATATCGAATATGTCATCGGCACGATTCCATCATCATCACTTCCATCATTATCTTTCAGAGCAAATTTTCATCAGATTTTTATCTCCATTATTCGAAGGCTCAACTACGGGAGTCAAAAAACAGAGGGAGGGTACTATAATAAAATTTAGCTACCGCACAAGAGAATTTATGTCATGCTCGCGGGCTTTTATACCGTACGAATAAAATTGACATACACTCATGCTTCGTATATTTCGAGGCATTTTTGCCATATTTTTCTGTCACTAAAAGGGAAATCTCACTATAAAAGATGCATCTTTCTTCCCTCCTTCATTCTCCAAAAATGTAAACGTGTAGAAAAAATTTTTTAACTTTATCAAAGCGGATTATCTTCTAAAATCGTGTATTTTTCTTTTAAAGTGTTCGAAGAAAAGCACTAATTTCATGCAAAGCTTCGGAAAAACTTTACAAATTTATGTTTTCACATACTTTAATCATAAAATATATATGTATTTATCTAAAGACATAATAAAAATATAAATTCAAAATGTGAAAATTAAAAGTATCGTTTTAAGATTAAATAATAAACTTTTTGTGTCGAAATCAGAAAACCGAACAAAACAGATGACATCTTTTGCCTCTCAAATAATCAAAGAACTTACAATAATGGATTTACGATAAATAAAACGAATAATTGCCGCGTGGTTATGACTGATCATTAATTTTTAAATTGATCATTAACTATTAAATTAAATCATCAACATTTCTAATATATTATAGCGCTGTAATATCATATATTCGTTAAATGTGCATATAGTTCTCTATCTAATTTTATTGCTGCTAATAAAATTAAAAAACTTTAGAAAATGTCCAATTTAAACCGAATGTCCATTCGGTTTCCCTGTTACGTTCGTTGTCACATTTCTGTTTTACGCCGAAACTTATATTTAAGCCCAATTGCACTCACTGGTTAGCGGTAACTTTCGTTAACTCAATTTGTTCGTATCGCAGATGGGGATTAAAAAGAGACAGCGCTATCGCTAATCTAAAGTTAATTAACCAGAATTGTCGATGCGCCGCTCGATCTTTTAAGCGTTAAATTATTTTCGCGAACGAAGCAACAGAAGTTTCCGCAAGAGACTTTCGAAAATGATTCTTTCTGATTTTATTTCTCGCCGATAATGAGCACAATCATTTTATGCATAAAACAACCGCGGTGTTAATCTGTACGCGAATGATGAACAACCAACAATCAAATTATAGAGCCCGATAAATTTATCTTCTAACACGAAAACTTTCTTTTTAAGAAACGTCTCAAGACACGATTTACGAGAGTTCTTTCATTGAATTAATTACTTATGAGAAGTCATTAATTACTGCATAAAAGTTCGTGGATTGATTGAAAATATTTAGCATAATCACAGAATAAGAATTCATAGAAATTCATCTTGAATGAGAAAATTAACATTAAACTTTTGATGATTATAAATAAGATAAAAAATGTACAATATTAATTATTGCCATAATTTCTGTTTGAATTGGAATCTTGTTGTCAAGCTTTCTTTGCTAAATTTTTTTTTTTAAATCTTGCTTCTCTATCAAAAAGAATCTTCATTTATATATATGAAATTAAAAAATTAATTATAAATAATTTTTTTTATTTTTCTATTATAATAAGGTTTACCAATATAATATATATTTTTAAAAAATAGAATAAAACCAAATCTGCTATTCTCTCTCTATAATGAAAATTTAATATATGAAACCTTTCCATTTTTTGATAAATGTAAAGGTGAAAATTAATTTCTCTTTTTTCGCGCGTTTTTACTCGGAACATGGATAATTTAGATTATCGAAGACGATTTTGCGAGAACGAAATTGCGGCCGTTCAAGTTTGTTGAATTCCATTGAACTTACTTAGTAGATGAAATCAAAAAGCTCAGCATGATACGGATCAAAGACGAGAGGCGTATGAAGCGTAAATGGGAAAATGTCGGGGAAAGATAAACAAATAGTAGCGTGGTGCCACTCGAGTGCCACTTCTCAAGTAGCCATGTAATTTTAGAAACTCTCTCGGCGCAACTCGATTTTATTTTCATTCAGTGCAAAACGACCTCGCGTTTAAATTCACGAAATAGCAGCGAAAAAGCTTTTACGCGAAAAAAAAAACGAAACGGAAGACAACTAGAGTCGCGAAATATAAAACAAGACAAATAAATTGAATTTAAAATGGAAATAAATTAGATTATTTTAATTATCGAATGAATCTTTTAAAAATTCTGTAACCAATCAACAATCAGAATTATAAAATATCAAATACAAATTAATATTTGATTTTTCTCTTTGTTCGTTTTATTAAAATACCGGCTATTTACTTAATCAATTATTTATTTAATTATTAATTATGGATAATTATGTAATAAATTTCATATTAATACAGAAAATTAATAAAAATACGAAATTCACTTCTATACATATATGGACAATACATCGTGTATCAATATGCCTGCGTTTGTTATTTTATTGCAGCTAAATAAGCGAACAATAAAGTTTTACACATCATCATGTTTTTGTTATCGTGTTTTTGTGGTATTAACACATTAGGAACTGAGACCGAATATTGTTGGTGTAGGAAGATGATAAACCGTTAGCAAATGTCAGTTCTGTTTGATTAATTTTAAAACTTTAGGAACACAAAGCTCACTGTACTTAATCTCATTGTGTTATATTCTCATCATGGCACTTGTTCGTTATCACAGGTCTACTATATATATTAAATATTATTAAATATATAGAATATCAAATATTACTTCAATATTAAAATAGAGTAGTATGAAATAATACTTTTTTCATAGTGCTTTTAATACAAAAATGTTATTCGTAATAATTTACTGCATATCTTTTTAACGAGAAAAAAAGATACAATTAAAAGAGAAAAATTTTAACGTGTTTCAATATTATAATATTTTAACGTAAAATATATTTTTAAAATTATTATCATTTTCACGTAAAATATATTTTTAAAATTATTATCATTTTCACGATTTATATACGTGCTTACATAAGAAAAAATTCATAAAAATAGATTAGTTGTAAAATAAAATAAAGTATTAAGATAAATTTTATATTGTACCAAACATGCGTACAATATAAAATATATATTAGAGTAATCAGTTATATTGAATCAGTTGCAATTATATGAGCAAGTATACAACACAAAAAATCAGTATAGATAAATAGCGAACGTGACGCAAACAGGAAGTCATTATTAGAAGCAATTAATAATAGTACAATAGAGAAGCTATACTTGTCACGTAAAAAAACCTGTATTACTATTATTCTTACCTTCACGGGTATGCAGAATATAATTAATAAAAGATCAGCCGAGGCCAGACCTCCCAGGAAAACGTTGGTCGGCGTCGCCGGCAATGGTCTGAGTCGTGGACAAAGGGTGGAAGTGATGATAATGACATTTCCTGAAAGAAATTACGAATCCTTGATCGTAAGAATTACATTTCTTGAAACGTTCCGGAAAATCTTTGCAATATTACGAAGAGCGTTCCGGGAAAAAAATGACAAAGATTTTAAATTCTTAATAAACCTTTCTTTCCTAATGGAAAAGATCGAGTAATATTGCGGTTTCAATCAACAACACAGTTGCTAGTATATTTAATATTGGACATTATTTTGTAATTATCTTGCAAGCTCAATTATAACGTAGTATTTGCAAAAATTAATTTCTCCTAAGAATAACCGATTTTAAATGAACATTTCACAAGAATCAATTTTGCACTATGACTTATATATCTCATATTGCCTTATGTCTCGTGTCTTATATCACCTTACAGAAAAAAATATATATATTAATATTATGTATTATTATTATTATTATTATTATTATTATTATTATTATTATTATTATTATTATATTAATCTATTATTATTCTATATTTTTATTGTTATTATTATTATTATTATTATATACCTTTTATGTGAATTTTTATATGAAAAGGAAAATGTCATAACTATGATTAATATTGCAATTTAATATCGGAAAAACTTTAGACTTGTCAGTGTTGAAAAATCTCTCTCTCTCTCTCTCTCTCTCTCTCTCTCTCTCTCTCTCTCTCTTTCTCCGAATAGTAACTGCAATATTGTAGAAAATTAAAATTTGTTTGCCAATGAATCACATTCCGTGAATTCTGCGCGTACCAACAATCCTACTTACCATTAAACAATTATTAATTGTTACGCGTATGAAATAATTATCGTGATTCGAGAAACGAGAAATGCAGGAAATGCGTTCGATCTGAATGTAATTCGAGGTATTTTGGAACGATCATTTGGAAATGATTCATATATACGCAACTTGCACCATAATTACGGCGTCACGTAATTAAGAACGTTATATTAGAAACTGTTTACACAGCAAAGTTTGCACGGCGACCGTGTGAATTTCTGCGCAAGAAACGAGATTTTGTCGTCCGTAAATATTCCACTCACACTTCATCACATCTAATCTACCTCTTTAAGATGCAGCACTAGTCCCATCTCTTTCTTCGAGTCATTTACCATCTAAATTAGGGATTTTGGAGAATATTTTATCGGTAACACGTGGTTTCTTTTCATAATCGCAACAACATACATGATGAAACGAAAAATAATTTTCGAATAATAAATATGATGAAACGAAAAATAATCTTTTGTATAGTTTTGTATAAATGATGAAACGAAAAATAAACCTTGAAAACAACTTCGCGAAACTCTCGTCGTAATTATGATGCAATTTAACTTAAAATATAGTACATCGCAATTTATGTAGCATGTAAGTTATGAATCATGAGCAAAATAGCACAAACTTTTATTTCTCTGAAAACATGTGTGTATTATGCCTTATACTTTAACAGTATTTTTTCTAAAAGATTTACTATGTAATTAGAATCTTTGCAATATAAAAACATTTTATTAGCAACGTATTAATTCTTTTATAACAAAATAAAAAATAAATAAAAGTGAAATCGATTAATTTCATTAATTGGTTTGTTTTTTGCACAAAAAATCTATTCATAAAAACTAACCACTTTAAACTGGTTAAATCATCTATTTAATTATTCGAAGAAATTGCGAAAACTATGTCAAAAAAACATATAGTAATATCTTATTTTAAAATAAATAAAAAATAATAAATTCGCAAGAGTCGATATCGCAATATGTACAGCGCAACTTGCTTTATGATTATTCATAAAATTAATATTTAATTTAATTCTAGAAGAGCGATTATATAAAAATATGCAGACTATATATATATATATATATATATATATATATATATATTATATATATATATATATATATATATATATATATATATATATATGTATATGTATATGATATATATATATATATATATATATATGTCATTTTGAAATATATATAATCATAAATTAGTGCCAATAATTTTGAATTCTTTCATACTTCATTTAAATTTTTCCATGAAATTTTAATTCTATTAAAATTACTTCTAAGTGATATATTAATAGCTATATAACAACATCATTTTACGTATCATTTATAAATTAGCGCGCAACGGAAATTACATATTTAGTATCTTCTAGAATTAATCGTATAACCAACTTTAGACCTAAGTTATCTGGAGTATATCTGGAAAGTAATAAATTATAAATTATTATTATTTCTGTGCAATATAATTAATGATAGTATAGTTTACTGTGTAGAGAAGCATTCCCCGGATTATATTATCAAACTATATTATTACGTGGCATATTACATTTTATATCAAATATTTAATAACGAGGTATTTAATTATTTTAATTCAATATTGTAGTAATACAATATTAATATTTACCAAACATAACTATACAGCTTTAGTTTGAAACATAACTATACAGCTTGCGATTGAATACGCGCCGATTAATACAAGTAAAATAAATTTTATTACAAAAGTAAGATAAAGTAAAAATAAATTTATATAATTAACTAATATCAATTCAAAAGTAACTTATAGTTGATTTGTTAAAAAATAAAAACAAAATATATGTATAATAATGCATGTACATACAGTAGAAAAATTTGTGCAATACTTTTCTAAAAGAACTTCAAAATTCGACGATTTATACTTTATAATAGAAAAATATATGTATATATTCTACATATGTATATATTCTACATATATATATATATATATATATATATATTCTAAATATATGTATATATTTTACATATTCGTCAATTTATTTAAAATATCTTATCATTAACCTATTTAATTACAGCACCATTTAAACTGCTATTATATCAATTTATCTTTTCATTTTTAAAATCTATTAGGTTCATTAATTATATACGCGAAAATATCTTATGTTAATTATTATTTTACTCTCGCATATAAGCAGTAAATCAGATAAATGGATGTAATTAGCTTAAAAGTATTAAACTATGACATATAAGCTAAAAGTAAGATCTGTTAAACTCACCGACTAATCCGAGGATGAAAGTCAAGCTATAGACCACTAGCACAGGTGCCAATTCTCCCCATTCGAAGTGGCTGTAGGAATCGTTGATGTCATAATCGGGAAAATCTGTCGCATTGGTGTCGTTAGTTATTCCGTCGTTAACGTAGTTAACGTCGTCTATTATTCCTTCCGACATTATCGAATGATTATTGAACATGATCGAAAAGATAGACTGTCAATATTTGCTCGTTATCGTAGCACCATTTCGCATCTTACTAAGATTGTCACATTTTCACAAAGATGGAAAATAAAGTAGAATAACATGGAAGTATAATCAGAGAGGACGGTAAACTAAACAGAATCAACTTTTAACGTTTAAATTTATGTTTGTCATCACGTTTTACACATCACACGATACATCCACGATGGAACTTTTAATTTTTAATCTTAAAGCCGGAAATTTTTAAATGTAAAACACGTCGGAACTATAAGACTGTCCAACTGAGAATAAGATATGAGGCAACTCTACGACTTACACGACGAAGCTTTTTGTTATTATTCAGGTACACAAATTGTTCCGCTTGAGTTCCCTTGCTCTCATCTTAGTGCAATTTGTCTGGAAAAATAAAAGAGAAAATGTCAACTCGCAATAAACATGATTTTTTTATCTCGATTCTACTAAGCATACTTATATAAATGTGTTTTTATCAGCAAGCATTTCGCTTCTTAACGGTAAAAATCTTATTGCTCGAAATATTTTTCAAAGAAGCTGTGAATTTTTAACAAAAATAGATATAAAAACATCATTTAATAATATCATTAAAAAATTAATTAAAAATTATTCAGAAACATGTAAAAAGTTGAATTTTTTTATATGATATGTTTTTGTCTAGAAATGAGAAATTCTGGAAATAAATTAGTAACCGTTTGCAGTCAATTATGTATAACAAAATGCAGGCTTTATTTACAAGTGTGCTGAGAGAATTTTAAGATACATATATATTTTGAATAGCGCAATCAATAAAGATCAGCGACAATTGTTCCTGAGAGAAGAAATTACTCGCTTCGCCCACGGGCGTGATCCATGATAAACCGTCTCTTTAATGAAACTTCAGCTTTAGCTCGACATGCCCGGGAGCGCTTAAAGACTAAGACCCTAAAGGCTTTGTTTTATGTGTTAAATGTGTCGCTTTTCACACAGACGGATTAATCATTTTGAATCGATCAATAATCTACTTTTGATTTGTCGCAATGTTGTGAGATACAGCTACTAAATGCACTGCAATTGCGTGAAAAATTTTCAGAAATGATCAGATGAAAACACGTATTTGCAAAATGTGAACACGATATATCTTGAGTGTTCATTTCTTAATATGTAGGCGCAGTTAAAATAGAATAAATATTATCATTTGTTACATCCAAGATTTAAAACAAAAATAGAATTAGATATAAAAAAAATAAAATTCAAATCGATGATTGCAAAGATTCAAATACAATAAATAGTATATATCTTAAAAAACTCCATTGAGATACTTAACTCAATTTTTTTGTTCCAAGTGTAGGTGAGAACGCAATAATTCAAAAAATTTTAATCTTATACTTCTCGTTTCTAATAATTTACAACACGAGAAAAACTTTTTAATCAAAGATTATTCGAGAAATTCAAATAAGCTCTTATTAAAATAAATTTTAAGCGTTTTAATTAATCTTCTCTCTCTCTCTCTCTCTCTCTCTATATATATATATATATATATATATATATATATATATATAAATTTTATACATAAAACGCTTACAATTCTTTTTATTTGAAACACTTTTTATTTAAAAAATATGAAACAAAATTGCGAGTAAAATGCAAATAAATATCCGATTATCTCTGAATTATAAATGAAGCTTTAAAATGTATTTTTATTAAATATTAAATATGTTAAATATTTATGAAGTATTAAATATGTTTAAAAAAGCATAAAATCAAAGATTGTCTGCGAAATAAAACCTATTATTGAAATGTTCTGAAATGACTTTTTAATAAATATTCCACTTAACTTATTGTTAGTGCAAACGCGCAATGTTCGCACCTTTCAATGAAATAATTCGTGTACTTTAAATAAACAACTTCGTATATAGCACAACATAGTTCCGTATGTAATACACGCATTTCATAATTTATATGGTTTTCCTAACACGTCTCTAATTCATTGCGGTTAACATCGTGTAACATCATGCAAGCTCCGCTTACAAAACAGCTTACTCGCGAACGCCATCAAACTGAAAATCATTATGTATTACGATCGCTGTAGAATATTAGTAACAAACAGCACCTACTTCAATAATAAAATTAAACAACATTTACAATAATAAAATTAAACTATTAAACAACATTTACAATAATAAAATTAAACTATTTATTATTATAAATACTATTTATTATAATTCTTGTGTAAAAGCATGCGTAAAATTTCACATATTGCAAAATAACATTTTAAAAATAAATAACAAAATTTTTATTTTATTTATGGCTATAATAACAAAATTTTTATTTTTATTTATGGTTATTGAATTTATATTTAATTAAATGTATGATATGATTTGTAATCTTTAGCATTAACATCATTAAAACATTATATATTTTTTATAGATTACAACTATATAATATATCTTTCTGTAAGTCCATTTTTATGTGTTATATAATTCTTATAGTCATATATATAATTTTAAAAAGATTAAAAATTAATTTTTAACAATTAATTTTATGATTTATAATTTTTAATTTGGAATCTTTACTCAAAAAATATCGATTAATAATCATTGTTCAGTATTTATCAGATGTTAACTAACAATAAAAGATAAAGATTCTTTATAGAATAAAGAAGCAGAGAAGTAAACAGATAAATAATTTTCAAATTAAAACGATAATATATGTACGCATAGCTAGCGTTGCTATTTTAAGATTGCTATTCGACTCCTTTTTCGTAGACAGCTGGCATATCCGGTGAGATTCCGAGAATTCCATTTCCGACAGAGAAAATCGAATTATCAAATGCACTAGCAGTAGTACTGCAGTTCTGGATCGCAAACGCGTCGTGTCAGTAATGCATTTCCCAAGCGAGCGTTATCATACGGAAGAAAAATGAAGGAAAAACGAAAGAAACACATCACCCAAACATAACGACATAGTATGCCGCAGTCGTCCTACAGTTTTTCAATTTACGTTTAATGAAGCTCGCTAATGATACAAAAGGACGCTCACGCTTGATATAAAACAAAACGTCGTGCCCTTTGCGCAAAATCTTTATAACTCGCAGTTGTAATTTTCAAACTATATAGCTTTTCAAAAAGCATAAAAGACTCAGAGAAAAAACTTTAAGTTTTTTAAATTTCTTTTTCAATTTTTTATTTTAATGCAGTTTTTCCAGTAATATAGATCAAACATTTTCTAATTACTTTTACAATATATATACATCAAGGTAAAGAATTTTATATATCAAGAAGAAAAACAAAAATATATAAATTTTATCACATTAAGGAAGAAGAACTTTAAAAATAACTATTAAGAAAAAAAAGATTTACTTTAAATTCTCACAGAATTTGTGGTCAGCAAAAAGTTGTAACTCATGGAACGTTCGCTATATCAACGAGTACATTAACGACGTAAACTACTTACATTCTATCAGATATAATTTTAAAGTTTTTCTCGCGCGAACCAGCGCTTCAATTAAGCTCTTCTGGTTTCACGGTTGCGAAAACGTGACGGAATAACGCAAATAAAATTCTGAAAGAAATCAGCTACATACATCACAGATTTTGTAATTAAATAAATATTTTTAAATAAGTTTTTTTTATAATCTGCAAAAAGATTTTCCTAGCGCAAAACAGATTTCTTGCTCATGAGTGAATAAACCGTTTCTAAATAAAATAAAATAAAATATTCTGCATCAAAGAAAATAGATAAATTGGCGAAATATGTTCAGCAAGATTTGTAAATCTTTAAATGTTAAGGATTTCTTATTAACCATAGATTATTTATATATTTCAAGAAAAGATTGCATAATTTTTTTGCATATGTCTTTTTTTATTGTTATATATTTCAAATTACTTACATATTTTTATTTAATATTTTGAAATATTTGACACTTATTACGATTATTGGCTAAAAGAACTACAATATTTTTCCAATAATAAAGTATAATTAAATAATAGCTAAAGAAGAAAAAATCCTAATTTAAAAACAGCGTCTAAATTATTTATAATAATAGTAAAATAAAATTTTTATATTTTATATTAAAAGTTGATGGAACTGTGTTCACTACCTAAAAAATTCTGTAAAATAAAATATAAAGAAAACATATTTACATATAATATAAATGTTTTCTTCTTTTGTAAAAAAATAATTTTTGCTTTTTTGTTCTTTTTTCAAGTGTTGCAGTGTTATTTCGAGTATTATAAATTATCATAAATATATATATGTATATAAGATACTCTGTTAAATATAAAAATGATTATGCAATCGAATAATTATTGTTAGTTGTGCTCGCACGTCAAACGCTATGATATCTTGTCCGTGTCATCACTGTTTAAAATTGAAATGATGTGCTTTAGAAACATCGTATGCGGACAGCCTGCGGAAGTGAAAATACTTTCGAATTTTTATAGATAATCGATCAACATCGACAAATGTTACAAACGAGTACCGATATTTAATTATGTTTTAATGAAATTAATTCTACCTATTTATACAATTTTCTCACACAATAGCGATCGTCAAAGCATATTTTGTCGAATATAAATGTAGAATTATGATTAAAATTTATTTTTACAGAATGTTCAATATTCCATTCGGGTTGACATTTACAATAAAAATCTGACTTCCTAATTTCTGTTAATATTAATTAGAATATTTATTAGATACGTGAGACAGTTTTTAAAATAACATTTTATAAAACTATATTTAGTAGGATAAAAGCCATAAAATAATAATAAGTGTCACTGTAATCTATCTACATAAGCATATATAGGCAATTAGTGTATCAATATCTATCTACTCGAAAAAATTACAGTAAAATTGGAAATGCGATGCTAAATATAAATTTATAAAGTTATTTCCAGCAATAAATTGTTTCAGTAAAATGTAATCAAATTTCGATATACTTGCTTATTTAATAAACGGAGCTTTTAATGAAGTGTAAATAATTTGTACCCGATCTATTTTCTCTGAAACTACATATAAATATATATTTTTTACCTACTTTTAATTTTACATGATATATACACACAACACATACACAGAAGCAAAAAAAATATTTTTTTTCACAAGAAATTTATATTAATTTCTCTTCAACAGATTTAATTACTTTATTGCTGTTTATTTATAATACAACATATTTTATTTATATTACAACTTTTTTATTCTTCTCAAAATAATATTATATTTTTAATTGTAATTTTCTTATTGAAAAACCGAGAAAAATTCGAAATAAGAATGTATCAAAACATTTAACACCTTTTCCATATTTAATTAATTATTCAAATAATCATATTTAAGTATGTAAAATTATGTTTGAACTCTCTCTTTCTCTCTCTCTCTCTCTCTCTCCCCCTCTCTCTCTCTCTTTA